AAGTGCTGTGCCCAAAGAAGCATGGGTTGCCTGTTATGGAGTAGCCTGTTGAACAGAGTGGATGAGGCACTTGGAATGGACTTGATCTTGCAGCGGTGTCAACAGAGCGGAAGACACTCCAGATGGGCAGGTGAAGTCTTGCTTGTGCCGTGGTACCAGCAGGACAGGTAGAGCTCCAGATGCTTAAGCAGATTGTGACAGGAGAGCAGAACAGGAGGTGGAGCCAGGAATTCTGTGCAATTTAGCGTAGCCATACTGAGTGTTGGCAGATGTGCCCTTTCTTCTGTGGTTGATCATCTGACAAAATTATACATGTGGTTGCCACAGGCAATGAAGGTGTGTACCTCTCTATGGTCAGTGTTTGGCACTAATTGCAAGCTACAGTGGGAAAAGGCACATTTGCACAGGAACTAGAGAACAGTAACTGGAGAACAGTTGTCATGCAAGTGTACATTTTGCACGTTCATCTCTAAGAGTAGAAGCCCACCTTAAGATGAGTATTCCCTGCTAGCAACCTCAGCCTTGTCCCAGGGCATTGGTGAAAATGTCACTAAAGGAAAGGTACCCCACGTGTGTAAAGTAGAGAGAGAGAAACCTTGCACAAGCTGCCAAACATAGCTCAGAAGAGCCCACTCCAGGATAGTCCCCTCATGTGACCCTTGCTTGGCTCCCAAGGGAAACATGGAGGTCATAACAAACAACAACCACCCTACCCTTACAGGCCCTGACACTTGCTTGGAGTTATCAATGCTGGCCCTGACACTTCCTAGATGCTATCATTGCTGGCCCTGACATGTCCTGGAAGTTATCATTGCTGGCCTGGACACTTCCTGAAAGTTATCATTGCTGGTCCTTATACTTCCTGGAAGTTACCAATGCTGGCCCTGACATTTTCTGGATGTTATCACTGTTGGCCCTAACATTTCCCAGAAGTTATCATTGCTGGCTCTGATACTTCCTGGAAGTTATCATTGATGGCTCTGACACTTTCTGGAAGTTATCATTGATGGCTCTGACACTTTCTGGAAGTTATCATTAATGGCTCTGACACTTTCTGGAAGTTATCATTGATGGCTCTGACACTTTCTGGAAGCTATCATTGCTGACCCTGACACATTAGCTGAACTGCTTATAGAATGACTTGAACAACTTCAGTACTTCTGCTGTGAATTTGATTATTAATTTCTCTGCATTGCCTGCAGATACAGAGGTCAATGAGGGTTTATTTTAAAGCTTATTTACTGATGGGTATGAATGTTTAAATCTTTTATGTCCATTGCCTGGTCTGGTTCACTTTGTGTACCAGACACAGGGCTTTAACTGGCATCATGTCTTGAAAATAGGTCAGACTGTGATCAACCTTAGAGAAATAATAGCAAAGCCATTAAAGCTAATTCTAATGACTAACAAAATTACCGAGAGGAAACCTTTTCTAAGGGCCCTTTCACACTAAAAAAAGCGTAGAAAAAAACACATATGTGTTTTTCAATGCGTTTTTGGTGCATTTTCTGTATTCCTAACTCCCAGCATGCACCTGTAAAACTTGGACGTGTGACTCAAAAATAGTTTTTGCTGCTTTTTACATTTATTTCAATGGGGAGGTGTGTTTTGATATGCTTTAATAAACATGCATCAAAAATGTAGCCTGCAAGACATTTAAAAAACACACCGCATCCACACCACATTGGTGTGAAGAGTTCAATAGAATTTAAAGGGATACATTTTTTACGCTTTTCTAAACACTAACAGTGCATCAAAAAGTGATCAGTGTGAAAGGACCCTAAGAGAAACATAAAGGTTGCCATTGCTGAGCTCTCTTTTCCCTTAATTCACTGAGTCAGTGATCCAGAACAAGTATGAAAATAAGAACTACTTAGTTTTCTCAGATTTTTCTGATCTGCATACACAGAGAGTATTGAAGCTTCTGGATCAACATAACAACCAGTCAACTAGCACTGTAAAAAAAAAAACCTTGCAATGGTAGCCCTGTATTTCTTTCAGGAAATGATGAATTAAATACTAAGTTACTGAATGAAACAATCAAGTATGTATATTCACTAAACGATCAATAAATATCTTTAGGCAGCTGCCCGCTGTCATAGATTGTTCCTGTGGACATTTCCTGTGTACGTCCCTTCGTGTCCCGTGTCTCTCATAGGTTGAATTGCAGTTGTCACTCCCACAGTAATACACCTGTCATTGCATGAGTCTGTTGCAGTATGCATTCAGGCATGTTTGTCTATGTCTGTTTATAGCATCTGTCAGCCGATACACAAGAAACAAAAAGACTCATGAAAACCGATCTGCTCCTTTTTGCTGAATATTTAATGCTGGCTGCACCAAAGAAAAGGAGCACACATCTTTCCTTTTTTCCCATGCTTGTCTTCTTGCCCTCTTTAATTTTCCCCAGGGAAGGATGGGTTTCAGCCTTGGTTGCTCGAAGAGCCCATTTAGTCGGGAAAGATCTTTAATAACCCCCTGTTTTGGCGTTCTTCCTGTCTCTGCAAGATTACATTTATTTTATCCCAGCCACCTTCTAGCAGACTTTTGTGTATATATTTTCAGGGAAATTTGATTGCTTGTATAGATTTTTAAATCAGTTTTTCGGATCAAGTTCAGAAATATGTAAACTGTTTGCCTTGTTGCAAGCAACTCTGTAATGAGTCTCTTTCAATGGCATCAAGTGATCTCCAAGCAAGGCCTAAGCAGATTAAAGCAGGCAGTAATTGGAAAGCAAGTAACCTTTCCAAGACCAATTGCAAGAAATTTAAGCCTCCTTCCAAATGTTTATTAAATTGAGGCCATATTCACACTTATTGTGGTCTGAAATATGAACCAGTATTTTCTGTCCTGGGGTGACTGACTTTATAGAGCGTTAATGTACTCATAATGTACAATATTGTATGGCTGTTTTAGATGGGCAGAAGTGGTGATTACATTTGGATTGAATAAACTGCATTAAAAGACTGTCCTTCCCACATCAAAGACCATTGGAACAAGAATTACACTTAAAACATTTAGATGCTTTTGGCTCACCGCATATAACCCATTCCATGCTGGGCTGGTTACCAAACACCCTGTTCTGTAAAGAACTATGGATATATGTGATGGAACAGATTAATAAACACAGAATCTGGGCAAATGTCTTCATATACAGTTTAAATACATACAGTACATGTTTAAAGTTTTACTTGTAATCTGTAAATCTGTAATAGCCAATCTTGTGATATACAAGCATTTCTTACACAAACAGTTCTAGTTAAGCAATTCAGCTTCCTATGGCGTCTCTATATTTTCTGTAGAAAAAGCAAAAACAAGAAGGCGCACTGGCTTGCTTTTTTCACAGCGGGCTTCTGGATATTTCCCCCGACCAGTGGAAGGCAGCAAGGCCCTGTAGGTTCTTCTGGTGGGTTTCTCGCTATATAATCTCCCACACCCATGCACAGGAGATTTTTCATACATATTGTTAGTCTCTCTGTTTTCACCTTCTTATTAGACAGTAAATCAGCATCATCACCTCTGCCCTGCGAGCAGGCAGCTGACCAAGGAAGCAGCAACCAGAAAGTAGCAGAGCAATCATCAAAACTGATTAGTCCATTAGAAATGCTAAATGACTGTAGTAGTGTAGCTGATTGCCCATTTGCTCACCATGCTCGGACACAGACCCCCTTGTTTCTGTACACATCCAGGGAAGAGAGGTTTCCTTGCTTCCCTTCCTCAGCAGCTCAGGGATGCAACACCAGATAAGGCATAGATAAATAGTCAAGTGATCTACAGCCAGGTTAGAGGCCTCCACTGTGTGTTAGTAGTCAAGCAGAAATCTAATATCACACAGCTTAGTTGCGCACAGCTTATGTTTTAAACCCAGCTACTGTGAGGAGCCCTTTCCCGATTGATACCAAAGTACTTTATCTCCAGTGGTGTGCCCTCCCCCCTTTGTCCTTGAACCTATAATCCCTCCAGATGTTCACCTGGGTTACCAAAACTACCTTGGACTACACTGAGAGAGATTCTGGCTATGGAAATTGCCTGTGATCTCCCTGCAGAGTATATTTTCCCATTACTGATTGACCAGATCTCTGTTTGGGGGTGGCCATCTTGGTAGAGGCAGGGCTTTGCTTCCTCATTTCAGAGACTCCAGCTGAGAGAAACAGTAAGCAGCACAGAAGTGACATCAACAAATCTCACTCCAAACTTAATGAAACCAGCAGTCAGTGGCATCAGCACCTTAAAACTCACATGCTCTTGCACTTTCTTAAGTGCCCTGCTATTTTTTAGAAGGGAATTCCAGACAAAATATTTTCAGGTATTGCTCTGTTTTAAATAACATTTCTTGGTGTTCCCTATAACATAGAAAATATCCACTTTTTGAATTCAGATCCACTCTCTACTGTTCTATCTATAATCCTTATGAGTGTTAAAGAGACTCTATCACTTTTCTCATTTAGGACAAAGTGACAGGTTCTCTTGTAAAAAGAACCCCTCACTTTTGTTCTGTGTATACTCCCCTGGTGAATTGTGTCAGAACTTTAACAGGGTTAACTTCTTCTCCTTCTTATCCACATGACACTATTCATGCCTGGGGTTTAGCCAATTCAACAAGAGCACTGCATCCTAGGTGGAGATCACATGCTTCTCAATATCCTGAAAGATGACAGATTTTTCCAGAGGGCCCCAATTGTCACAGTTTAAGGGGGATACAGTTAATTTCCTCATGGCTGATATGTGCAGCTGGGCTCTGCCCACACATAGAGGGTTGCAGGGCATCATGCTGGTGTTCAGCCCAAACCTCATACCGTCACATGTACGAATGTCAGTCTAGACCTCTTCTCCCCATGCTCCTTGTCACCACATCTTTTACCCCTGCCCGTCTGGAGTACTCACACATATGTTTGACACGTGGTCCTGATAGAAGCTCCAGAAGCCCAATCGTTCACCTATGGCCTATGAGACATAAAGGGTTTTGGGCCACCTGACACATGTAACACAAGGGGTTTTCTTCCACCGTCACGTGGGGGACTCCATTTCCTCCATCACCATCCACCCCAGAGCCAACAAGGCTTGCACCAGTAAAGCATACAACCAGGGGCGGACTGACCATTTGGAAACTCAGGCACTGCCCGAGGGCCCAGGGTCAGAAGGGGGCTCCATGAGATGCCCCTTTTTTATAGGCTTTTTTGAGTTTGGGCAAGGACACAGGGGCCCCATGATCCCCTATTGCCCGGGGGCCCCATAATTTGTCAGTCCGCCCCTGCATACAACTTTCCCCCCAGGTACTGGCTGATCTTAACACATCACTCTTATAGACTATCACTCAGAGGCTCATTGTTGTTTACTTCCCATAAGGAAAACATAACATCCTAAATTCAACGTCTTCATTATCATGACATTGCCTACTTGTAACAGAGTATGAGCATAGTGGTACTTGTACCATTGTGTTTGCTTCCAAATAGACTATCACCACATACTTATCTAAAGTATGGCAGCCACCCCTTCTCCAAAGGGAGAGCACATGAAATCCTCTCCAGGACCCTCCTCCTTCGCAGACCACAGTTCCATAAAATATATAAGGGTATCCAGTGTCACCACTTCACTTCTAAGGAGGAGCAACCCTTAAAGGGGAACTCTGTCTGCCTAAAACTGGGTGTGGAGTTCTTCTTACAAGAGAACCTGGCATTTTGCCTGAGTGGGTAAAGTGACAGATGTTCCTTAGGTTACGTAGTCTATAGCCAGTAATTGTTATCATTATTTTGGGTTGTAGGCATTCAAGCAGGCTAAATGGCCCAATAGTGTCTTATAAATGTGTAAAATCAACTTCATGCTTGTGGTGATATGTGGCAATTAAGGCAGTATTACTGTTGATGTTCTTGTTACCTGAGTCAACAGGAAAATTGTTGTCTCCCCGCATCACAGTAACATTGTTTAGAGTCTACTACAAAATCCCCTGGAAGCATTGGAGATGTAAGCTACTCCAGCTCTAAAGCAACTGATTGGTGGGGTTTGAAGGTGGCTACACCCATTGTTCATAGATTCACACTTTAGTGAAAAAATAGGAATACCACTTTAAAAAAAACTGAAAAAAAATGTGACATATAGTATGCCACTCTTTAATCCAGAATGACAAATGCTCCTTCCTATCTGCTGCAATATCACCTTACCATAGAATAGTGTAATAAGAAATCTTTCCTTATTAAGTCAGATATAAGGAGTCCTCTTCCCGCATTTCTTCAAACAGAATACTTACTCTGCTGCACACATAACTAATTGATCTACAGTGTATTCCATTCTTCTATTTCATTATTATAGATGAAGTGTCACCTTTCTCCTGAATGTCTCATAACCAGATTCCACAAGTCATTAGCTGTTTATACAATCAAACATTTTAACAGGCAGTCCTATTACTCTATAATATTTCCTTTATCCATGCTGCAGCTGGTAGGACCTTGTAACAGAGGTGATGTTTTTAAATGTCACTCAGCAAGAAGATAGAGAAGGCTGCTACGTGTCTTTTTGTCATTCAACAGTGGGAAAATGTCTTTAGAATATTTTATCTGTTTCAGCATCTAATTCTCCTTATTAGAACTAATATTAATAGAGGTGTGTGTGATATCTTTATACGGCACAGCATGCCTGAGGCTCAGTCCTTTCTAGCAGTTCCATATCAGATCCTATTAACATCACATGTCACTGCCTAATTGCATTATTACAAGTGAAGAGATTGCAGCTCATCTCTAATTGGACCTGCTAAGATATAATCCAGCACCAGTCTTGTATTAAGCTTTACCTTGTCACATGACTTTCTTGCCAACAGCCACCTCATTTTTCATGGCAGCCGAGCAGCTATCTTGGCTTGGTAAACCTAGTATCGTTAACTCCATATCAATTCTTCTACATCTTGGCAAGCTAAACTTGCATGAGTGTCTATTTGCTATCTGATTCATCAAGTCAAAAAAAATGCATTAACTTGAATATTTTTGGAGATAACCCATGTGGCTACATTAATATTATTCAAAATAGAAGTAAGTGAGCGCAAAACACAGAGAGAGCCGCTAGCATATAAGGCAATCCTCAGCACCTCAAATGAAACAATATGTATAGGGTATGCAGCGCTATGGAATGATAAGATGAATAATAATTTGATTTATAGATATAGAGATCAACCATATATCAACAACATATAGCAGTCCTTGTATTGAGACTCATAAATTCAGACAAGTAAGAAAAACAAAACTTATATTGATAAGTTCATAAATCAATGCTAGCTGATATAAAGGAATGAAATACACCAGGTGACATCAGAAGCAATTGGTGCGTTCCAAATCCAGATTTGTGTATTCAGAAAATCTAGTGCAATTATGCGCTTACCACAGGGACATACAAACTGAGCGTTGTATGTAGGACATCAAGTAGATCATCGGTGGACATCAGGGCCCCATCAGCGGTAAAGACAGCATCCGGTCATCGGGGATGGGTCCAACGAAGCTCAAACTCCCGATAGCATGCTTCCAAAAAACGCTCCACCTTGCAAAGCTCGAAATAAACGAGCCAGGGGGAAAAATGGTGCTAATAGTGAAGTATGCCTTTATTTGAGTAAGATCCAAAATAAACTGTAAACAGTGATAATGAGCTGGTTGCTCGAAACATCTCAGGGGATCTATCCAAGCGACGCCATTTATTTATGAGAAGTCACTAACCACCCGGGTACCTATGCATTAGACCTGGAAGCTGTTATGTGCTTATGTGAGTTGTTTACAGTTTATTTTGGATCTTACTCAAATAAAGATATACTTCACTATTAGCACCATTTTGCCCCCCGACTCGTTTATTTCGAACTTTGCAAGGTGGAGCGTTTTTTGGAAGCGTGCTATCGGGAGTTTGAGCTTCGTTGGACCCACCAGGGAGACTGAGATGACCCCAGAGTGAGATTTACCATCCCCGATGACCGGATGCTGTCTTTACGCTGATGGGGCCCTGATGTCCACTGATAATCTACTTGATGTCCTACATACAACGCTCAGTTTGTATGTCCCTGTGGTAAGCGCATATTTGCACTAGATTTTCTGAATACACGAATCTGGATTTGGAACGCACCAATTGCTTCTGATGTCACCTGGTGTATCTCATACCTTTATATCAGCTAGCATTGATTTATGAACTTATCAATATAAGTTTTGTTTTTCTTACATTAATATTATATTTTCAAAAATGTGTTTAACGGTACAGTTAAAAGGATCTGCCCACAAAGTTAAGGGAACTCAACAATGTAAATTGTTCTTTGGAATGATGCTTGAAAGTTTGTATCCGGAAACCACGTTGATGCATTACGCAGGCACCACCAAGCCTATTGCAGAGGAACCCATTTGCATTCTGGCATCACTTCTAATGAAATTTGTTGGAGTGTTCAGCTATCCAGTTAGCACTGGAAGGATGTTAAAATCTTGCTTTTTTTACTGCATCATTCCTTACCTCTTAACATTCTTTATTAGAAGTAGGACCTCTTCTTTGCATAACACCTTCCATAATGATGATAAAAATGAATAGTCCATTAAAGATAAAATGGAAAACTCAGATTTTGCTGCAGTATTAACCTTCAAGCCGGAGATTTCTCCCACAGTTTGCTTTGCTACAAGATGTCCTCACTCAGATTGCTCATTTCATTCAACCCACTTAAAGCAGAGGTAAAGTGTCCCTTCAATGGTCTCCATCCCTTGCCCGCAACAGTATCTTATGCTGGGTGCCGGTCTTCAGCCCTATTCAAAGGTCAACATGGGATGACGGAAGTCACCCATCCTTACAGGGACCATGCCAGAGATGTAACCTGAGCTGCACATGCGCAGTGCAATTTAAATGCTGGAGAAACAGGAAGAGGACAAGTAAGTGTATTTTATTGCAAAAGAGACATTGCATGTCTCATCTGCAGTAAAGAGCTTTCCTGCTTGCAGTTTTTGACAGAATGAGCTCAGGTCATCCCAGACCTGCCACCAGTCTGTTACTGGACAGTGAAAGAAGAAGCAGCACAATGATAAACTTAGCTTCCTGGCATTCAGCCTTCCCTTTATATCAGCATGCGTCTTGTCATCATATGAACAGATTGGCTTCTTGTGATGCTTCTTCATCTCACACTCCAGCCCTGCTGTGCATGTAGGTGGGGTGCAGACAGGGCTGCTGTTAGAGACCACAGGGCCCCATACAGCCAACCTGACAGGGCCCCCCCAAACCACACGACCCTATACAGCCAACCTGACAGGGCCCCTCCAAACCACAGGGCCCCATACAACCAACCTAACAAGGCACCTCCCCATCCCTACAACCAAAAACACACAGTTTAAGATGCTTCAGTTATGAATGAACACAGTGAGTGATTGGCATCGATCATTCATTGTATTCATTCAGGAATGAAAGGGGCTGATAAATTACTGGAACTGATCCCCTGTATGTTTCACTCTGCAGCAGCTAAAAGTCAGCCAGGGGGAAAGAGAAGAAACCAGCTTTCAGCTGCTGCAGAGAGAGCCATACAGGGGACTGGTTCCAGTAATTGCCCAGTTCACCCTTCCTGCCCACATCTGATTCACCCAGCTGCCTGGGACCCCCTGCAGGCCTGGGCCCTGTACAGGAGGACTGGTGGTACCCCCTTATCCACAGCCCTGGGTGCAGATTCAATATAAGAACTTGCACTGGAGTAATGAAAACAGTCACAACAAACCCAGTGGGAAGATACTCCAACCAGGGACACTCACAGTTCCCAACAGTGAGTAGAGAGCATGTTTCAGCTGAACCAACAAAGCCTGCGTAGAGGGACAGAGTGTGGCCTTGCCATCTCATACCCAAGCAAGAAGATGTTCAGTGTTGCTAGCCCTACACTTACCCTCCTTGTCAGGAACTTTTCCTTGCCTCTAGTTTTGTCCCTAACCGGTGTGGTGCATGACTCTACTCTACCCACACGCAAGTACACGCCAAAACCTGGGTGCAGGGACTTAAGCCTCTCCTGAACCAAAATGGCCACCAAGGGTCACATGAATGCAGTGCGACTAATTTAAATGCTGCCTTCAGGAAACCATAGAGAAAGTAG